AAAAAAGTAGTTATCAAAGTTAGAAAGACCAGAATTACCCTCTGATTTAATATTTATTCCGACAATCTTAGATTTCAATTATGTGATTGGAGATTTAATGGATCCGCTTTTGCAGCAAAGCTACCACCTTCGTGCCATTTCTATTTTCATACCAAAAAGTCTTGCGGAATCAGCTTGACCGTCATTCTTTCTCGTGCAAAACCCAAATCCTACGTCTGCAGTGCCTACACCTGATGCTCCATCCTTGGTGCCCTCTGAAGACGAGCCGAAGTGGACTATTCGACATATTGATTATGTCAGCTTTCTTGCTTTTTATTTGCTTTTTATTGACGTTTTTCCTTCGTTCAGGCTCTTATTTGCTTTTCTTATAAACACGCATTCGACAGGCCTTGAATACAGCACAAATGTATGTTAGACTTCGATTGTAACTATGGCACATCCAAAATATGTGGGCTCCAATTATGTCCTTCACAGGCATTAAAATTCAATGCCTCTTCATATTGCGCTTCAATATTGTTTTTTCCAAAAATAGATTGACCGGTCCTCCATGTTATATTTTTCTTTTCAGCATTACTGGGGCACTTGTTGAGATAAAGACTTTCGGTTCGAGTCTGCACAAAAGACTCAGCTTATTCAAGTTTGAACTCATGCTTTCCGGGTGTCAGATCTATGCGTCCCGCAGTGGGACCACTACGTATGTATCACAGCTCTCTCTGAGCTATACAACTGTTTATCTATAAGAATATGTCTGGACAGCCTGAATGAATCTCAAAAGACCGGAACTCTCTGGGAAAAACACTGTGGAGAAAAACCTAAAACACCTTTTACCATACTCGCTTCTCCTACTTTACAAAGTACTGTACGTTTGCATTTGCATATTATTCTCTGACCATCATTCTCTGACAAAACCCTCTTCATTAGAGAGCAGATCCAAAAAATACAAATGCTGAATGAGGGATCAGATTTCTGGGTATCTCAAACAGAAGAAGATTTTCAGGGGAAATATGGTTATTTCTGTGTTTATTTATTTGTTTGCACGGCAGGTTTGTGTGTCTCCTACTGTGTAAACAAACATATGCAGAAAAGAAATAATTACCCTTTCAGCCAAAACAACATTTCACACCTGTACTGATTAAGAACAGAACAGTATAGAAGATTATTGAAGTAGACTTTGCACGAATAAGGATGACCACCTCAGATGGCTTCTTCGACCCCTCCATACTTTCGCCTGCCGTAATTCTATTCCAACTTTGCACCCACTTGGACCGGGAAGTCCCTATTCTCAATGAAAATGTCTCATCAGAAGGCATTATTGGTGGCATAGCGGAACCCCGTAGGGAGCGTACGTTCATCTCGGGAGGAAAGATTGGATTACATCTGGCTCGATTATTACGTCTCATTTCGCCCCTTACTTTGCATGAGAGCAAACAGAATGCAAAACATGAAATTTGACAAAGAAAAATCACATATGAGCCCTTTTTATAGCTGAGATTCACGAAGATGATGGTGGTCTGTTCGAACCCTACGTCACAGCATGGAAACACTTAGGTAATACCCCATGAATAATTCCTGTTCTGCACAGATTCGTGACTGTGATTAGTCTAATTGCCGGGAGCCCGTACATCGTAGTCATTCCCAGACGGCTGAGCGAACGGCCAAAGGTCAATGGGTATGCTACAAGCCTGATGAGTGAGCCAATTCCGGACAGGAAACCTCTGCAAACAACTTCCTCCTACCTCATACAGGATCAGCATCACGTTCTCACTGGGAGATGCATGGATCATCGTACGCTTCGAGTTGATCAGACAGGTGTTTGGTGTCCATATCCGTTGCAGCATACGTGGCTCCATCGTTATATTCCTGGAAAAAAGTGGCATTTTCATCGGCCCCCTCCAAACATGGCTGACGTCAACCGTCCGCCTCCTCAAAATTGGAAAATTAAAGAGAAATAAAGACCTCTTGCAAGCCAGCATATGCGCAAAGGACAGGGATTCATCCCGCCACAGTTGTGTAAACAGGATGTCGATCTCGAAGTCCGATGTGATCTCGTTTAGCGAGCCCATGTCCTAAAATAGCTGATCCAACAGATCAGTAGGAGCTACCAGTTTTTCGATGGTGCTCTACTGCTCGAATGAACTTCATTTAAGGATTAATTTTCAAATTTAAGGTTGAAAATGACATGACAACATGAGCTTCTGACTTTGTTCACTACACCCATTGGAATTGTAAATGACAAGGTTAGTTTCAGATTTAATGAAACAAATAAATTGTTTTCCAAGAAGTCAAAGAAGCTTTTCGAGGTCTTCAGCCTCCACAACAGTCAAGACAACGAAAATATCAGGTTTTCAGAACCTTGCAATAGTATTGAGTCACGGGTGTGGAGCAGTAGGAACGAAATGTTCGCGCACGGCGAAAACCACGTCGCGCGCGAAGGAATGTAGCAGAATACAGTAGTGAGTAAGAAAAACAGGAACAAAAGAACTAACAGTAGGATCATGCCAAAAGCAATAATCGCACAGCGATTGAGCTATAGGAAGAACGCTAGAATTGTTATGGTAAGGCAAATGGACCGCGACAGCTGCGGGCGGCGGATCGATTACCCAAAACCGTTACTACTGCCCGTCTCCCTTGAGTCATGTCTGAGCTATCATTATGAAATGGGTCCTTAGGCAAAGTAGTGAAGTAGGCATTGTCATTGTCCTTTTGAAGAATAGCTGATAGCCCGAGCCAATATTGAATATGTAATACTGAGTAATATACCGGGCAGACAGGTCCAGGTATGGATGATAAAGAGAAATGTTGCCCTTTAACGCGATCCGTTACCCAACAACCACCTCTTCATCACCTGCAACCTGTTTTTAACCTTCTCCAACGATGGTTGGTTTGACCCCTTCCTCATCACTCATTCCCTTCTCATCCATCCCATTCTGAATATGGGTTTCAGAACAACCTTATCCTCTCCATCTACGGGTTACTTGACTATTACTTAACTCGACATTTGTATTTTATGGAGTGAATAGAAGATGCAGCAGCAAACCCTCAGTATTTCCTTCTACTTGAAACCTCTCGCCCTTTTTTCGAAATAGAAAAAAGCATGAGTGCCGATCCCCTACTCAACGGAGAAGCGACAGAGGCATTTCAATTCCACGACACGATACGGTTTTTTTTACTAAATCCAATTTATTTTTTTCTTTGTTTCTCACTCTCGGACGTCATCACCCACAGATGCCCGAATTATACGATGGCATGCTTAAAACACAAACAGCACGAGTAAAAGGGCAAACGTATACGTGCCAAGAACTTAATTTACTCTGGTGAGATAAATCAGCTATAAATTCAGTGCATACGAGAAATTCACACTGTTCCCCCAGGAATTCATACAAAAAATAGATTTTTTTTTCCGTGAAAAAGTTCAAAGTATCCCATCGTCCCACCGTGTTACGACATCTGTTATATCGCTGTGTTTCCCACTAAAGTTTTATGAATATCAGCTAACATGCACTTTTCGATTCAACTAGCCGACGACAAAACCCCATGTGAACGTCCGATGACACGCTTGATGGCTTCTATACGTAGTACGGAGCAAATGAAAGTTCTCAAGAAAAATAAGGAAAAATTTAAAAATGAAATTTTGTCCGCTAGGTTGTCTAAAATATAATATTTACTAAATATAAAATAAAATATGACACGTCTAAATTACTGTCACCATGTTTGAAAGAGAGAAAACAAGCTCTACAAAGTGTCTTAACCTTTTTAACTTCCCAAAGGTGGTATTACTTTCTACCAGTAGGTAAAGGCACCTTTATATTTCAATCAAAATTCAATTTGAAAGTTGTCTTTACCTGAACGTGCATCTCAATCTGAACCTCAACAGCATTATCTCCTTCTGGAAGCATTTTTGTATAGTTGCTGAACAAAGCCTTGACGATCTGGCCTTCGCTCAGTGTCCCTGGTGGACATTTTACCCGTTTACCTGTTACCTAAAAGAAAACTTACTTAAACTCATCTTGTAAGCAGCAGGATCTACTCTGCTATTAATATTACATTAGTCTGATACGTAGAGAAATACTAAACTTTTTGACGCTAATTAGTCCCATTTGGGATGCGCCCCGCACTCCAGTTTCATTCAAAATCGTAGGGGGCGTTTTGGATGCGTATTCGGCCTGTACAATGAATTGCATTAGCCAGCCGAAGGGAAATTCAGTGCTTCTGCGACTCCCTGAAAAGTCTGATACCAGTGAATCGACCCCGGAAGGTTGGTAGATTATCCGGGGTCGCTTGACTGGTACCATACCTTTCAGAGAGTCGCATAAGCACTGACTACCCATTGGTTGGCCAACGTAAATCGTTGTATAGGCCGAGTACGCGGTAGCTTGGCCTAAATAGATATCGTCCCGGGACTAGATATCTTAACTGGATCTATGGGTGTTTTTATAGTCCACCCACTATTGCTGCAGGATGAAATGGGAGAGCCGCCATTCTATCTGGCAACTCAACCCTCACGTATAAAACTGTGCTCAATCATGGTATAGTCCAGAATTATCTTCAGTTTTCTAATAAACAAATACACCTTTTTAGAAACAAATACACCCTGGTAAGCACAAGTAGTATACCAGTAGTATTGGAAGTACACAGTCAAGTAAACATCAACTTACCATCGTAATATACAGCAAGGTGAATAACAATTCACGTATCATCATAAGCGTACCATAACAATTACTCTGAAATCAAGCCTGATTAAGAATGAGGATTAGGGTAGTGAACCTAGTGGATAGGATTAGTTAAGCCGAGCCGATAGCTGTGGGTCATACGGCTTTCACGAAGTAGAAAAAAAACCGACGGCGACATACGTATCAAATGTCCGAGCATGAAAAACTGAAGAGGTAAAAACACGAAGAACGATCGACACGAAACGNGTATAGTCCAGAATTATCTTTAGTTTTCTAATAAACAAATACACCTTTTTAGAAACAAATACACCCTGGTAGTATTGGAAGTACACAGTCAAGTAAATATCAACTTACCATCGTAATATACAGCAAGGTGAATAACAATTCACGTATCATCATAAGCGTACCATAACAATTACTCTGAAATCAAGCCTGATTAACGGTGAGGATTAGGGCAGTGAACCTAGTGGATAGGATTAGTTAAGCCGAGCCGATAGCTGTGGGTCATACGGCTTTCACGAAGTAGAAAAAAAAACCGACGGCGACATACGTATCAAATGTCCGAGCATGAAAAACTGAAGAGGTAAAAACACGAAGAACGATCGACACGAAACGGAAAAGTGAATTTTGTTGGCAATCATGAAGAAAGCTGATACCAGGAGGATAAGGAAGGTGTTGCGTGATTCTTCGAAAAATCCGCATCCTGACGAAAACGATCCTGCTAAATTGTGCTAATCTCCTTCAACTAACGAGGTCGTTAGGTTCAGCATCATTCCTAGACAGCTGGACGAGGTCGAGGGTTCAATAAGTGCTCAATTTTTTCGGGAATACCTAATTTTTACAACAAAAATTTAGTAACCAGAGGCAACTGCTAGGTTCCCAAAAAAAGTGACAAAAGGTTCAACACTCTGTTTCAAAAAAAAAAACTCGAGAAAAAAGGAACAAAGGTTCACCAAGAGGGTCTCAAAAAACGATAAAAAACTTTCCCTTTTGGAGATCTGTTGGCATGAACAACAGCTGTAAATAGATCTCACAAGTAGAGACCAACAAATATCCGAAAATAAGGCGACAGAATAGAAGCCTTCGAGGGTTGATTCCTGGGAGCGAATATATGGGAACGAGTAGGTCCTTCCAAGGATGACCCTGATTCATTTTTATTTATATACTGTAAGATAAATGAATCATTGTCTAATTTATCTGCTACGTTTTTGAGCAGCGAATCCACTCAGTCCGAAAGGTGGAATACGTTGGCAACCCAGTGTGACGGCTACTCCGACCGCGCGCGATTGGGTGCAACGAGCGCGACGCGATTTTCGGGGAGAAGTGTCCACACCCATTTCATACGAACTCCCATCGACCTAACTCAAGAAGAAACAACTAATCCACCTCAGTGAGCAAAGAGAAAAATCCAAGTCGCAAAACATTTTTTTCCAAGAGCTCTTTGCGAAAGAACTTTTTTCCAAGAAAGGAACTCCAAGAACGTTTCCGCTGACCTATTTGATAGCTTCTTCCCGGAAACATCGCCTCAATTTCGATTCAGATTTCCATTATAGAGAAGTGAAATCTCTGTCTAAGAGACCGCTAGTGGATAGAACGCGAAGCTGAAAATTCAGGGACTTTTGACTGCTCGAACCGAAGCTTGTAGTCTTAACGGCCTTGCTCAGTGTATTCCCGATTTATCTAAAGGTCTAAAGTTTTAAATTGTAAAATGGTTGCTATCCCCATTCATAGCGTATTTCTGCTCCGTCTACCTTGAACTGAGGCGTTTTCCATGTTGGTCTTCTCGATATATTTATTTAGTTGATGTGAGTAAACAAATAAACATTAATGTAAAAATGTGTAAAATTTAATGAAAAGTATTGTAAGCATTTATTAAATCATTGTGCGTCGAGCCGACGATTCTCAGCCAAAGCGGTAATTGAACCTTTCCCTGCATTCCAATGTAAAAAGCAGCAAATGGCGTTAGCGTTTACCTAGCCACAGAGCTCCCTCGCCTTTTTCAAAAGGTTTTTCCGTCAGAATCCAAAGATTGTCCGCTGAGTTAAGGCGACACACAAAAAGGTTTCTGCTGCGAAGCTGTCAAAAAGCCTGCACAGTGTTGGGGAGGGGTCCTGAACTTAAACCAAATTAAGATTTCACCAGTGACTGATTCCGTGAGCTAGCGGTACAAAACAAATTTTACTGCAATATCTTCATCCTTGATGATTGAAGACCATATCGTGGGGAATGAGCCCCAACGTACTTCCAGAAAAATTGAAATACCTTACCCTAAAGTGAAGGAGAAGCATTTCAAAACGGGTCATGACCAGAACATCAGAGTAGTGAAAATGAGAAGAAAAGTCTGATCCAGAAAAGGCGTCATCTTTAAGTTCTGACGTGAAAACCAATTTCGAACGAAAGAGCTGGTAGGACCACCAAGTAATGAAATGTTTTAGGAGGGTCAACTAGACCATATGCCACCAGTTGATTTCTTGTAATGAAAATAGAAATTGAGTTACTGGCAGGCTAATACTCATCAACTCGACCTCCCATTTGCAAGCTTGAAATTCATTTTTAATCATATTTACTTTTCAAGCAGATGTACCTGTGTTCAATGGAGATATATATGTACCTTTCAAGCGCCTACAACATGAATAGAAATCATAAAACCTCATGAAAACTCCCATTTGAGAAAAGACAACATCACTCACGTACAGCCAGTGCTCAAACATTTCATCGAGAAACCCTAAACACATCCTCGAAACATTTTGATTTCATGATCATTCCCACTCCATGTCTTATTCTTTATGGCGAAATTTTTGGCTTTTTAGTAATAAATCAATTTTTTACTCCTTTGCAAAAAAATTTTCGTTTCCTCTAACATCTATATGGGAGCCATTGTTGTGATGCGCTCTCCCGAAAATTTTTTTACACGATTTTGAAATTTCCGAAAAAAACATTTTTTAATGTCCACTGCTGCCCACATCGGTGGACCGTAGGCTGTAGAACTGCTCAAATGGGAGGAAGAGGCATTCCCATTGATCAAAGAGGGAATGGACAAGTACTTCGGAGCAATAGTGGATCTTCAAATTATTGCAAAAAGACGATTATGCAAATAAATACGGTGCAAAAGTTTTTCATAGAATTCATAGAACATTCTGACTATATAATGAATACATGGAATTTCTGCTGAAGGGGTACTCCGCATGTTCTTACTATAAGCAATCGAAACTACTCCAGAAATATAAGAAAGCGAGAAGGGAGTACTACTTTCATCGTCGAGCACACGGTTACCCCGCATATATGACTCGAATCTATTCCCTATGAAGAATTTCGGCAGGTTTTGGAAAGGAAATGCACCGAAGCCAAGTTAGTTATTTGGAGTTCGTCCAAAATTACGAGACGTAGTTCCTATCATGTGCATTACCAAAGATTAGAGGAAGAATAAATATCAGGGTGTGGAGAGGTCAGGAGATATACGTACCCTTGCTTTTCAATGGAAGAACAATGAAATTCGAAAATAAAACTAGGACCAGATACCGTTGATTCTAAATGCAAAGGCAAAGCGAGATAATTTTGGGCCTCCGCTGAGCTCAAGGTGGTTTAAGCACAACGATGAATTGATAGTGAAGTTACAAAACGAGCAAAATGTAAAACTAT